GGAGGGCAGGAGGGGAGGGGGGGGAGGGCGGGAGGGAGGGGGGGGGGAGGGAGGGAGGGGGAGTGAGAGGGGGGAGGGGGGAGGAGGGAAGGAGGGAGGGAGCCCAGGGAACTCGACCGACGGAGGGCCGACGCTGGGGTGCGCCGAGGCTGGCGATCGGGCACCCAAGGGGGGGGCCGAGGGCCGAGGGCCGGGCGCCTGCTCCTCCTCCTCCTCCACCCTCCTCCTCCTACCCTCCTCCTCCTCCTCCCTCCCTCCCTCCTCCTCCTCCCTCCTCCTCCTCTCCTCCCTCCCTCCTCCTCCTCCTCCTCCTCCTCCTCCTCTCCCCCTCTCCCTCCTCCTCCTCCTCCTCCTCCTCCTCCTCCTCCTCCTCCTCCTCCTCCTCCTCCCTCCTCTCTCTCTTTCTACTTCTTTCTTTCTGGCAACCTATGCGGTGCACCCTGGGTGGTGCAACCAATCTTGTGCGTTTGCGGCGGTGGGATCCACCTCCTCCTCCTGCTCTTCCTTCTCCTCCTCCTCCTCCTCCTTCCCTCGCCCCCCCGCGGGCCACAGGGATGACCCGAAGAGGCCCTCCAGGGCCACCCCTTGCTCCCAGATATCTCTCTGTTCATCCTGGTTGCCCGCTGTGTTCCACTACATGTGCCTCTCCGTCCCTTTTCCCGTCAGCGCTCTCCTCCCGAGAGGGGCTCGGCATCGCCCGGACGCGTGCACTCTTCCTCGGCTCAGGCCCTCGAGGCACACACCTTGGGCCATCCCGCGAGACAGGAGCGCGCGAGACTGGCCCGCGCACGGGGAGTGGGCGTCCGAGCGGCGGCGAGGAGAGGGGTTGGGGGTGGGGGGGTGCGCCGAGGGCCGGCCGCTCAGGGGCCACATCGAGAGAGAGAGGCTCGAGAGCCAAGACGGGGGCAGAGAGTGGACATGCCGGAGGCACGACAGCGCGAGGGGGGGAAGGGCGACCGGGCGAGGGGGGAGAGGGCGGGGAGGGGCGAGGAGTGGGGCAGACGAGCGCCTGTTTAGACTTTGCCAGGCGTGTGAGCCTACCCTTTTGGCACACGTTGTGGCGGCGAACGCGCGCGGTCGCCCGCATGCGATAAGACCCTCCAGCTCTTGCGTGCGCAAGCGCGGCGCAGATGTCAAGGCAGATGTCCATCGGCCCCTTGCCCCTCCTACAGGTAAGCATTCTTCTCTTGATGTGTCTCGCCTGGATCTGCTTGGCGCAGTGCTTGTGCGTACATGGCAAGCTGCCAAAATTGTTCACGCTTCGCGTATCCACACGAGTCCGTCTGCGTCTTAATGAGGGTCATTTTGTCCCTGGTACGTGCATTCGCCACTGCGGCCAATTATCTTCGTACCGCGCCCCGGACGTTGACCCGCTTCAAGTCCCTCGCCTTGGAGCCGCGAACCAAAAAGTATCTACACGAGTGTACCTGCAGTTTACCCACTCTCATCGTGGTTTGGTTGTGGCAGGTCCAGTCCTGGCCGCACTTCTACGCCTTCCAGCTGGCGGCGGCTGCAGCGTACCTTGGCACCTTCACCTGTTACCCGATGGCAGCAGTACTGACGCTTGGGCAGGCGCTCCTATCATCGTGGTTCAGACTCGTGAGTGGTTTCGGGGCTGCTGGCTGGTCGGCCCCACCATGGGCAACGGTGTGGATCGCGGACTGAGCACTCTGTAGGTTCTTGCCTCTTCTGCCCCGTCTGTGCCGACATCATTTCGGCTGTGGTACCCTGGTACTATCTGCCCGGGCTAGGTCGGCCGCGCGGACTGGCGCCAGAAGGGCGACTCTCCGCTCCTGAATGTAGAGCATTTTGCTTATTGCACGTGCGTCTGCTTTCATTGCATGTCCTACTGCAGTTGCTTCTGTTGTAGTTTTGCGAGCTGGCTCACCGACACTGGCGGCCGTGTTCGCAAATTCGCCATGTTCCGCCGCCCCGGACGTCGCTCCCGCTCCCTGGCGGTCGACTTGGAGCCGCTAACCAAAAAAGTAGCCACACGAGTGTTGCCATCAGCCCTTTCCCACTCGCCGGCTTGGCCGCCGAGGTGCCGCATGAGGCTTCGGCCCACCGCTTTAGGTTAATTCGTCTTTGCGCGGCCCGCTCTGACTGGACTCGCCGCTGGCGCTCTCGCCCGCGGCCGCTGACTAAAAATATCCACACGAGCGCCTCTCCTTTCTTGCTGACTAGTCGCGGCCCGGCTTGTGTTCGGACGGCTTCCGACTTGCTTCGCGAGCCCGCAGACCCCAAAAATATCCACACGAGCCTGCTCAGAAACCCTGCCCATGAGAGCTGACGAGAAAAGGGACGGAGAGACGCATGTAGTCATACACAGCGGGCAACCAGGATGAACAGAGAGATCTCTGGGAGCAAAGGGGTGGCCCTGGAGGGCCTCTTCGGGTCATCCCTGTGGCCCGCGGGGGGGCGAGGGAAGGAGGGGGAGGATGAGGAGGAGGGGGGGGGGGGCAGGAGGAGGAGGAGGAGGAAGAGGAGAGGGAGGAGGAGGAGGAGGAGGAGGAAGAGCAGGAGGAGGAGGAAGACGAGGATGAGGACGACGACGATGATGATGCTGATGATGATGAGGATGATGATGATGCTGTTGTTTCTGATGCTGATGCTGATACTGATGATGCTGCTGATGCTGATGCTGATGTTGATGCTGATGCTGATGTTGTTGATGATGATGAAGATGGTACTGATGATGTTGCTGAGGATGCTGATGATGCTGATGATGATGCGGATGATGATGATGCTGATGCTGATGATGCTGCTGTTGACAGTTATGATGAGGCTGGTGCTGATGATGGCGCTGATGCTGATGGTGATGCTGATGCTGTTGCTGCTGATGTTTCTAAGTATGATGATGCTGATGCTGCTGATGATGACGATGACGACATAAATGAGGAGGAGGAGGAGGAGGAGGAAGAGGAGGAGGAGGAGGAGGAGGAGGAGGAGGAGGAGGAGGAGGAGGAGGAGGAGGAGTAGGAGGAGGAGGAGGAGGAGGAGGAGGAGGAGGAGGAGGAGGAGGAGGGGGAGGGGGAGGAGGAGGAGGAGGAGGAGGAGGAGGAGAAGAGGAGGAGGAGGAGGAGGAGGAGGAGGAGGAGGAGGAGGAGGAGGAGGAGGAGAGGAAAAGGAGCACGAGGAGGAGGAGGAGGAGGAGGAGTGGAGGAGGAGGAGGAGGAGGAGGAGGAGAGGAGGAGGAGGAGGAGGTGGAGGAGCAGGCGGAGGAAAGAGGGGGAGGAGGAGGAGGGAGGAGGAGGAGGAGGAGGAGGAGGAGGAGGAGGAGGAGGAGAGAGGAGGAGGAGGAGGAGGAGGAGGAGGAGGAGGAGGAGGAGGGAGGAGGAGGAGGAGGAGGAGGAGGAGGAGGAGGAGGAGGAGGAGGAGGAGGAGGAGGAGGAGGAGGAGGAGGAGAGGAGGAGGAGGAGGAGGAGGAGGAGGAGGAGGAGGAGGAGGAGGTACACCGCCTCTTGGGGCCCTCGCGGAACGCTCTTGGGGCGCTCTTGGGCGCTCTTGGGGCCGTTTTGGAGCCTTCTTGGGAGCTCTGGAGGGCCTTTTGAGGCCATCTTGGCTTGTGCTTCCCCTTCCTGGAGCCACCACAACCCACCACCACCGCCACCACCACCGCCACCACCACACCACCACCACCACCACCACCACCACCACCACCACCACCACCACCACCACCAACCACCACCACCACCACCACCACCACCACCACCACCACCACACCACCACCACCACACCACCACCACCACCACCACCACCACCACCACCACCACCACCACCACCACCACCACCACAAACACACCACCACCACCACCACAGCCCACCACCCCGCCACCACCACCACAAACCACACCACACCACCACCCACCACCACCACCGCCACCAACCACCACCACCACCGTCACACCACCACACCACCGCCACCACCACACCCACCACCACCAGAACCACCACCACCACCACACCACCACCACCACCACCCACCACCCACCACCACCACCACACCACCACCACCACCACCACCACCACCACCACAAACCACCACACCACCACCCACCACAACTTCCACCACCGCCAACACCTCCGCAACCACCACCACAACCCACCACCACCACCACCACCACCACCGTCCGCGTCGACGCTCCCCGCCGCCGCCGCCCGCCGCCGCAGGCGCCGGCGCCAGCCCAGAAAAAGAAATCGTCGTCCCCGCCGCCGCCGCCAGCCGAGGAGAGGGAGCGAGGAGAAGTAATGGAGGGGGGGGGCTCGAACCCCGCCCCCCCTCACGGAAGGGGGGGGGGAACCGGACCCCCCCTTCCAAGCGACCATAGAACGCGCTCTTGCCGACGACGATGATGATGCCGTTGCGGATGATGATAATGGGTATGATGATGATGATGATGATGCTGCTGATGGTGGTGGTGATGATGATGATGATGATGGCCGTGAGTATGATGATGACGATGGTGATGACGATGGCAACGATGATGATGATGATGCTGATTCCGATGGTGAAGATGGTGACGCTGATAGTGATGATGATGCTGATGATGCTGGTGACGTGGATGATGCTGATGATGATGGGGATGATGACGATGTGGGTGATGACGATGGTGCTGATGATGATGATGATGGTGGTGGTGGTGCTGCTGATGATGATGGTGATGATGATGTCTATGACGTCGCTGCTGAGAGGGAGCGTCATGCTGCTGATTATTTCGACGATGACGTCGACGTCGAATGATGGTGCTGATGGTGGTGGTGGTGGGGGCCGTGCTGACGGAGAGGAGGAGGAGGACGAGGAGGAGGAGGAAGAGGAGGAGGAAGAGGAGGAGGAGGAGCAGGAACACGAACAGGAGCAGGAGCAGGAGAAGCAAGAGAAGCAGGAAAAGCAAGAGGAGAAGAAGGAGGACGAGGAGGAACGCGACGCTGACGATGACGACGATGGCGGAGACGACGACAACGGGCAGTCTTCACTCGTCCCCGCGGTGCCCCGCGCCCAGCGCTGCTGCCCCAGCGGTCGAGCGTCCCGCCCGGCGTGCCAAGCCAGCCGGCGGCGACGAGTCGGACGGCGACGTCTCGGAGCCGCCGCCGTCTGGATCAGCGGGGGGGCGTTGGAGAGGGGGCGAGAGATCCGGTGGCGCGCCCACGGGGAAAGGTTCAGTCGGGCCTGTCCCTCTACAGGAGGAGTAGTCAAATATAGAAAAAATAGTCAGGGGACGGGTGTTGGACAATTCGGTTCTGTATGTTTTGAATATTTGGGGAGGTATTTTCAATTTTTCCTCGAAGGTCCGCCTGGAGGGGGACATGCCCGACCTAAGGGGAAAGCAGGGGGGCCGGGCCTTCTCTCTCGAAGGCTCGGAGGGCCTCCGGCCTGCTGATGAGCCCTCCAAGAGCCTTCTCCGAAGCCACGGGGGGCTGCCAAAAGGCCAGCGGGGCTTCTGAGGAGCCCCGCCGCCTTCTGAGGCGGCCTCTCCCCCCCTCTCGCTGCCCTTCCCTCCTCGGCCTCGTCGCCGAGGGATGCGGGAGGGGGGATGGGGGGAGGAAAGGGGAGAGGGCGGAGAAGAAGAGGGAGGGCGCGGGAGGATGGGAGGGCACGCCAAGGTGTTGTTCGATCGCATCATGGTGCATCTCGAAGTGGGCCTTTTGCTAACGCCCGTGGTACTCCGACGAGGTGGGCGATGGGCTGGCCAAGGATATCCAGGGTTTCTCTGAACAGCTGCCAGTCTGTGTGCAGCTTGGGTTGGACCGTCTCGAATGCGAAGGTCGAGTCCGTCGAGGGCGCGAAGTGCCTCAGTCAGCATTCGGACTTGGCCGCGAGGCTGGAGCAACAATACGAGGAGTCTGTGCCGAAGGTCGCCCAGTGCGCGGCGCCCCGAGTTGCACCTGAGACGGGTACTGCCGACAAGCTGGCCGCACATTAATTGCTCGCGTGCTTGCGCAATGCCATGAAGATTTCTCGAGGCCCCCCCTCCCATCCGACCTGATGCGGCGGCTGATGCGTGACGCCGAGGCTGTCTTTCCGTGAAGCCGAGTGGCAGCATCGAGGGCCACGCAGCCGTTCTTCGCAATTCGCTGGGCAGAGCCGGGAAGCGACTCCAGCACCTGGCCCAGGCCGAGGCAAGACAAGCACCTTCAAGAAGCAGTGGGGCCCGTGGACGATCTTGGACGCATGATCACCATCGCAGGACCATGCCCGTACGTGGTGTTAGAAACCAAACTCTAGGATGTCATAGTCGGGGTGGGTGGGCACGGTACCGCGGGTAGGTTCGCCTCCCCGCGCAGTGTAGGAGCCACGATGTGGAGGATTCATTTGGAAGCACGGCTGATCGAGCACGTCCTTTGAGCTCATTGTGACAGGGAGTGCGGTCTGCGTGGAGTTTTCGTTTGGGAGCACGGCTGATCGAGCACGTCAATTTGAGCTCATTGTAATAGGGAGTGCGGTCGGTCATGCCATGCGACATGTCCCCCACTCGCCCTCCATCCTTCTTCTCAACCTTCCCTCCTTCCTTTTCCATGGAAGCTGTCCCTCTACCCTCGATTATCTGGCTCTCCTTGTCCTTCTCTATTACCCCCTTGATCCCACCCTTGATGTTCTTGCACATACACCTTGCCTTCGCTGGTCCAAGCCACCTTACCTTTGAATCGACTCAGCAGGCTGACCTCGCTCCCGCAGACATCCTACTTCAGATGATCAAGTGTGTGATCTCCTGGCCCGTCCCTGGGGCGGTTCGAGGTCATTTGGCACCCTCTTCGGGTGTCTTGAGGCCCTCTTGGGCCTCGCGTTGGCCTGCCCCGGGGCTCTCGGGCTCTCCTGGCCGAGTGGCAGCGGCCATCTTGAAAGCTCGTCGTGGGGTGTGCGGCCGCGCGCGCGAATGCCGAACGCTGCAACCGAAAGGGGAGCACTTGCCTGACGCGGGGAGCGGTTGACACGTATCGTCAGACACCGCGGATCCCGATTTCGTTGCCGACGTTCGCCCAGGCCATCCCACGATTGAGGCGTGCCCGTTCTCTGGCTTCCTCGTGTCATCAGATGCACGTGGCTTTGCTGCGCGCGCTGCCTCAACCGAACATCGACACCGATCTGGTCACCTCCCTGATCACAAGCCTAATTCGTGTAACTCCAACTTGGACTTGGCACTGTGAGACGACACGTGCCACGGGCAGCCAGCATCTGACTTCCTGGTAGCACGGGAGGAATAGCGCCCAGTGCCAAATGGGGATCCCCGTCCCTCCTACTCCTTCTCCTGCTCCCTCTGCTGCTGCCGCTGCCCTCCTCTCCGTGCCCTCCCTCTCCCTCTCCCTCTCCCTCCTCGCTCTCTCTCGCTCTCACTCTCTCTGGCTCTCCTCTCTCTGTGTGTGCCTTTTTCGCTCTTTCTCTCTCTCTCTCTCTTTATCTCCCTCTCCCTGTCGCCATCTCTTCATCTCTCGACCTCTGCGGTCGGCCGCGCGCCGGGCCATCCTGCCTCTGGGGCAGCCCAGCCCGGCCGAGGAGGGCGAGCCCTACGAGGAGACAGAGGCCGCAGCCTGGCCGGGCAAGCCGGGGTGGTGGTTTCGAGTCAACGCGCAGCTCGGCGAGGAGACGCGCGCGACTCTGCACGCACGAAATGGGTACTGAAAGAATGGGTACAATGCCCAACAGCGGATCTTGTTCATTTTGAACAGGGCTCGCTGTCCACGCCGCCGCGGCCTGTGTCCATTCAAGACAGGAGGCCGCCTGCCCAACAGCGGCCGCTGTTGGTTTGGGGCAACATTTGCTGTTGGGCATTGTACCCATTTTTTCGGTACCCATTTCGGGCGTCCAAAGCGACCCTTCCGTCCTAGATGAGTGCATGGTGGAGTTGGGCTTAAGTCGGGCGTGTCTTCCTACAGGGGGAATCTTCAAAAGTAGTCAAGAGATAGTCAGGGGACGATTTTTCGACAATGTTCCCTACCTAGGCTCTGCCTAGAAGGGTTCTTACTTTCTTCGCTTAAAGAGGCCGGGCGGTGCAAAGCGCCCCGGGCGGTTCCCCCAGTCCCCGCCCCGCGGTTCCCCCCAGTCCCCTGGGAGCTTTAGCTTTAGCTTTAGCTTTAACTTAGCTTTAGCTTAGCTTTAGCTTAGCTGTAGCTTAGCTTTAGCTTAGCGTTTCGCTGAGCTTTTCGCTTAGCGTTTAGCTTAGCTTTAGCTGAACTTTAGCTTAGCTTTAGCTTTAGCTTAGCTTGAGCTTAGCTGTAGCTCAGCGTTAGCTTAGCTTTAGCTTAGCTTTAGCTTAGCTTTAGCTTAGCTTTAGCTTAGCTTTAGCTTAGCTTTAGCTTAGCTGTAGCTTAGCTTTAGCTTAGCTGTTGCTCAGCTTTAGCTTAGCTTTAGCTTAGCTTTAGCTTAGCTTTAGCTTAGCTTTAGCTTAACTTTTGCTTAACTTTAGCTTAGCTGTGGCTTAGCTTTAGCTTAGCTTTAGCTTAGCTTTAGCTTAGCGTTACTGTTACTACTAATGCTGCTTTCCTAGGGGTTCCAACTCCTAGGTAGAGTCGCACTGGGATAATTTAATTCTTGCTTTTGAGTATTTGTAGTTCTTACCCCAAAATCCGCCTGTAGGGGGGCATGCCCGACCTAAAGTTGGGCGGAGGGCGCGAGTGGTCATGATGAGGGGGAGTTCCCCACCACCCACCAAACCACCCCAACCCAACCCGAAGGCCCCGATTTGCCCTCCGTTTCCAGGGGGGGAAGGGTTCCGGGAACAATGAAAAAACAGATCTGGAACCCGTACCCCCCCGCTTAACCGAAATTCGGGTCAAATTCGGGTCTTCTTGTCTGATTCCGAATGAAAGGGGGATAGTGAAGGGGGGGTTAAGAAATCTGCTGCATGCAGCTGGTTTCGGCCCGCCGCCGGGACCGTTCCTCGATACATGGGCGCCTCCCGGCGCCGGGAGGCGCTGGGAAATTTAGCTACGTGAGCTGATTCTCTACCCTACCCTTTGCTATCCACCCGTTTCGTTCCCCCCGAGAGTCCCCCTCATCCCTCCGCTCCCTCTCCTGCTCACTTTCGTGCTGTTGCGGCGGCTCCTCCCTCCGAGTACCACTTCTGCAGCGGCGCTTGCCGCCGCCACTTTCTGTCGGAAACTGGGCGAGGGCTGGCAAATCCGTGGCTATTAAAACGGCCTTCCCGGAATTACCCTGTGACGTACCCAACCCATTTGTATCATGGGAAACGAGGAGTTGACCGAAACTTGCATGGACAATCAAATTGCAGGATCCGTTGTTTGATATGTAAGCTACTTGGGACACGCGCCTATGGCATGATGCGAAGGAGAACCATACAAGAAAGAAGGGCAACAGCTACAGGCTCAAAGAGGATATGGGGAGACGGGAGCGAAGAGCAGGAGAAAGACGTGCGGGAAGCCCACTGTGCTGGGCCCCTCAGCAGCCCTCGAAAGTGGCGACAGTTTCACAGATCGCAGCCCCCCAGGGATGGCGAGGTCCCATTTGAGTCTGCGGTGAGTACCCACTGTGCTGGGCCCCTCAGCAGCTCTCGAAAGCGGCGACAGTTTCACAGATCGCAGCCCCCAGGGATGGCGAGGTCCCATTTGAGTCTGCGGTGAGTACCCACTGTGTTGGGCCCCTCAGCAGCCCTCGAAAGTGGCGACAGTTTCACAGATCGCAGCCCCCCAGGGATGGCGAGGTCCATTTGAATCTGCGGTGAGTACCCACTGTGCTGGGCCCCTCAGCAGCCCTCGAAAGTGGCGACAGTTTCACAGATCGCAGCCCCCAGCAGCCTTTGAATCCGCCGTGAGTACCCACTGTGCTGGCCCCCCCAGCAAGCCTCGAAAGTGGCTGCAGTTTCACAGATCGCAGCCCCCCAGGGATGGTGAGGTCTAATTTGAATCAACCGTGAGTACCCACTGTGCTGGGCCCCCCAGCAGCCCTCGAAAGTGGCGACAGTTTCACAGATCGCAGCTCCCCAGGGATGGCGAGGTCCCATTTGAATCCGCCATGGGTACCCACTGTGCTGGGCCCCCCAGCAGCCCTCGAAAGTGGCGACAGTTTCACAGATCGCAGCCCCCCAGGGATGGCGAGGTCAATTTGAATCCGCCGTGGGTACCCACTGTGCTGGGCCCCCCAGCAGCCCTCGAACGTGGCGACAGTTTCACAGATCGCAGCCCCCCAGGGATGGCGAGGTCACATTTGAATCCGCCGTGAGTACCCACTGTGCTGGGCCCCCCAGAAGCCCTCGAAAGTGGCGACACTTTCACAGATCGCAGCCCCCCAGGGATGGCGAGGTCCTATTTGAATCCGCCGTGAGTACCCACTGTGCTGGGCCCCCCAGCAGCCCTCGAAAGTGGCGACAGTTTCACAGATCGCAGCCCCCCAGGGATGGCGAGGTCCCATTTGAATCCGCCGTGGGTGCCCACTGTGCTGGGCCCCCCAGCAGGCCTCGAAAGTGGCGACAGTTTCACAGATCGTAGCCCCCCCAGGGATGGCGAGGTCCCATTTGAATCCGCCGTGGGTGCCCACTGTGCTGGGCCCCCCAGAAGCCCTCGAAAGTTGCGACAGTTTCACAGATCGTAGCCCCCCAGCGCCTGCGAGGTCTAATCAGAATCCCCGTAGGGCGTCACTCCGCTGGGCCCCCCAGCAGCCCTCGAAAGTGGCGACAGTTTCACAGATCGCAGCCCCCCAGGGATGGCGAGGTCTAATCTGAATCCCCGTAGAGCGTCACTCCGCTGGGGCCCCCAGCAGCCCTCGAAAGTGGCGACAGCTTCACAGATCGCAGCCCCCCAAGGATGGCGAGGTCTAACCTGAGTCCCCGTAGGGCGTCACTCCGCTGGCCCCCCCAGCAGCCCTCGAAAGTGGCGACAGTTTCACAGATCGCAGCCCCCCAGGGATGGCGAGGTCTAATCTGAATCCCCGTAGGGCGTCACTCCGCTGGGCCCCCCAGCAGCCCTCGAAAGTGGCGACAGTTTCACAGATCGCAGCCCCCCAGGGATGGCGAGGTCTAATCTGATTCCCCGTAGGGCGTCACTCCGCTGGGCCCCCCAGCAGCCCTCGAAAGTGGCGACAGTTTCACAGATCGCAGCCCCCCAGGGATGGCGAGGTCTAATCTGAATCCCCCCGTAGGACGTCACTCCATTGGGCCCCCCAGCAGCCTCGAAAGTGGCGACAGTTTCACAGATCGCAGCCCCCCAGGGATGGCGAGGTCTAATCTGAATCCCCGTAGGGCGTCACTCCGCGGGCCCCCCAGCAGGCCTCGAAAGTGGCGACAGTTTCACAGATCGCAGCCCCCCAGGGATGGCGAGGTCTAATCTGAATCCCCGTAGGACGTCACTCCGCTGGGCCCCCCAGCGGCCTCGAAAGTGGCGACAGTTTCACAGATCGCAGCCCCCCAGGGATGGCGAGGTCTAATCTGAATCCCCGTAGGACGTCACTCCGCTGGGCCCCCCAGCGGCCTCGAAAGTGGCGACAGTTTCACAGATCGCAGCCCCCCAGGGATGGCGAGGTCTAATCTGAATCCCCGTAGGACGTCACTCCGCTGGGCCCCCCAGCAGGCCTCGAAAGTGGCGGCAGTTTCACAGATCGCAGCCCCCCAGGGATGGCGAGGTCTAATCTGAATCCCCGTAGGACGTCACTCCGCTGGGTCCCCCAGCGGCCTCGAAAGTGGCGACAGTTTCACAGATCGCAGGCCCCCAGGGATGGCGAGGTCTAATCTGAATCCCCGTAGGACGTCACTCCGCTGGGCCCCCCAGCAGCCCTCGAAAGTGACGACACTTTCACAGATCGCAGCCACCCAGGGATGGCGACCGCAGGCGGGAGGAGGCGGGAATGAAGGAAGGAAGGAAGGAAGGAAGGTGGAGACCGCAGTGCTCTATTCAAAACGAGTACCCAACACAGGAGGGTTGGGAAGAAAAACGCAAACTCTTGGCATCAACCTCAGCGCACTAAATGATAAACGGGCTGCTTCCCGGAAGAAAACAACAACAATTTCCCGGAGCTCCGTTTCAGCAGCCACGGATTTTCCAGCCGTCGCCTGCAGAGGACGCTCCTGAGCAGACCTTTACGACACGCCGCCGCATCGCGGCGAGGAATCGCGTGCCGAGTCTGCGCGCCCGAGCGAGGGAGCATGCTGCTGCCCTCCAGGACGGCGCAGTTGGATCAGCGATTATCATCGAAATCGCCGCTGCCACTGCCAATCCTGCTGCCGTCGTTCGGAGGGAATGGCCCACGGGGAGATTCAAAGATCGAAGACAGGGAGCACGAGGGAAAAAAGTCTCCTTGGCTCTGGATCCCTCGGTCCTGCTGCTGGGTCGCTCCCGACGCTGGGCCTCCTGGTCCTGGGGGCTTGCCGACCACTGGATCCCCAGCTTCGCTCCCTACCATTCTGTGAGAAAGAGAATGAGCAGGCTGAGGAGGAGGAGGAGGAGGAGGAGGAGGGCCAGAGCAAACCCAGGGGGCATCATCGATTCTGCAACGCACCCTTCCTTCCCAAATCCCCTCATCAAGTGTCCCTGGAAGCACTCCTTGGAAAGAGCGTGCTTGTGGCGCACTTCTCGCTGAAAGGTGGGTCCCAGCCTGAAGCCCTCCCCTCCCTAAGCTACTGGGAAGCGGGGGAGAGGGCTTCCGAAGTGGG